CTGTATAAATTCACTTTTTTCACATCCTACATGTATTTGTAAAATTTAAACAATGTTTATAAATCCCCGGATCTGAAGATGATCTCGATAAAGATCGAAACGTTGGCACGATAAAGAAATGTTTTTTTCTAAAACCTACGTCACACCAGACCGCACCTCCCCATCTCCAAATAATCATTGGCTAACGGTCACTAAACACCACACATTAAATACTTAATTAAAAGCCAGACAAGCGAGATATAATAAATCATACTATAAATTAAATTAGAAGTCAGACTGTACTAGAAATATATCTTTTGCCTATGTAAAATTTATTATAAAAGCCAAAAGTGAAACTTTTCCTTTAAATCGCCAACTTTGCTACAATGCTTCTTCTTCATTTTAAGTGAGTTTTAGGACATGGGCCATTTTACCTATTTGTCCTATTTTGCTAATGCTTTCCGCCTAATAAAGTGAGAGTTACTGGAATGAGCTAGATGCTTATCTCCGTGAGTTATAAAGATCAATCTTTAATTAAAATAACGTTATTGGTTGAAATTGTTTGAAATTTAAACCTTTTTGGTTTTCTGTATATTTTTTATTTTGGTGTTGCGTTTAGATAAGATAGTTTGGTTGAACCAAAATTATAGCTATAACAGTCCTGTTGTTGTTGCTTGTTTTGGTTTTCTTTTGCGTTTAATTGTAAGACGCCAAAAGTTATTAAAAAAGGAAAATTAATCAACTCTTGCATTTAAAATGCTATCTATGCCCTCGAAAAGTACTAACAAATGACACGCTTCAATTCGTGCCGACATGCCTAAATTGAATCCTAAGTCTTACAGCTTAAAACTTTATAGGATACGGGAAGTATCTATTATGTCTTTTTCTTGATCTAACAGGACCTACCTACCTCAGAGTTAACAGGGTTTACACAAAAATCTTGATCCTACAGTTGTTTTCATCAATCGTTCATATTCCGCTGTCTACACCATTAATATACGTTTCTGCAAAACGTTCGAAGCAACTGTAAGATCGAGGTTACAAGATTAATACATCTATATAAACGCCAAAGAATGCAATGAGAGTGATTGATGTAGTGGAATACTATAGCGGTAAAAAGACAGGGGATCCTATCACACTCATCATACCTCATCCAGAGATCTGTGTTGGCCCCGAATGGTCCGATGGATAACAATGGAAGATTAAGTAAAGGTTATTTTGAAGAACACGCTTTAATTTTTACAAAGGGCACTATTCTATGTATTATCGTAGATTGTAGAATGGTAAGTGCCAAAGGTCAAGACGTCTAGGAGAATATTAGAAGAGCTTAATTTGGATAACATTCTTTTTAAGTAAAGAATTTTCTTTACTTTAGTCATAATGGGAATTTAGCTAATTCTATTACATGTTAAAGCCTTTTGAACTCGTTTGCCAAGTTTCAGGAAGAGGATGTTATATGATGTTTCATTAGTACGAGAAAATGGGTATAATGTACGATTTTATAGTATGTCAGAAATAAATTTACTTTTTGAGGCAGTAGTTGAGTTTTGAATGTAATTGGGTAAAGACTAGAAGCCTTGCAGTTTGGTAAGCGTAGTAGAATATACATATTCGACCTCAGAGAGGAAGACAACCTTAACATAAGGAACATAAGGTATACATCAATATCTGTTTCGAATGTATTCAGGTTCGGAATGAGGGTTTCACGGAGTAGAAATGTTTTTTCAGGTCGAACTTTGACCATGATTTGTCATCTAGACGAAGGGGAATATATAGAATATGCTCTTTTAGGAGTCTTCTTAGCTTCCAGAGTGATGTGCGGGATAGTTTATGTAGGAGTGGTGGTCGAAAGGATGTTTTGGGCTCGTCCACAAAGACCGGCGTTGTTGGGATAGAAGCTTCGCCAATGTGTAGCGGGAGAGATTTGGTGGTTTTTGGGTAACCTGCGAGTTGTGCTCTCCTGACCGCCTCTGGATAGAGTGGCGAAGATATTCATGGTCTCTATTTGTGTTTGAGAGACGTTTCAACCTGTACGGCATTTGTAATTAGTTATTTGATTTAGAAATTAGAATGAAGTGCAAGGTCAGAAGATTGGGACTGTGGCCTGAGGAAAGATCATGGAGGATTGGCATTGAAGTTCTAGTATAAAGAAATTTAAAAGATCATTGGTCGGTTCTCATCAGTTTGTCAAATTTAAGAATGTAAGAAGAAAGGAACTAAGTGCTGTGTATAGTGAACGATCACAGGGGTTGGTCACTCAAGAGCCTCATTGAAAATATTTAGTATAATAGTCGTCATCAGATAGCAATCTTGATTCAATAAATCCACAAAACTCTTGAAATTGAGTGGATTTTGTTGATTTATTCGGTGGACAGTTATCTGAAGCAATGGATAGACGCAAATAAAGGATACTGGCTCAAAAATGTTTAGGAATAACATGGTAAGAGATATCTATATCTCGAGAGAGGTATCTAGCAGTAGTAACTAAGAGGTATCTATACTTACTTATTTTGACTGCAGTACCTCTTAGGCCCTTCCGTAAGGGTGGTCAGTTCTATATGTTTCGTAATCCTGCGTACAAGGTGTTTCAACAGTAAAGTTTCTGTTGATAGTACAATGTGTACTTGCCGGTCATATAGTTGTTGTTGCCAGTTCGTTAGTATATCTGTCGACACCGTTTGCATTCCAAATTAGAATGGAAATGGAATCGTTCATAGAAAGGACTACTGTGAGCGAGTCGGAACCAATTAAGTAAAGACAACTAAATGCTAAATACAATAACATAACGTTTCCACGTGGTCTGCTGGGGGCTGGTCCGTTTAGAACAGCACAGTTTTGTTTGTTTAGAGCGCAATTATCAGTTTATTTACATATATGTAGTAATGCTGTGAAAAAATCTGTTTTTTCTTTTTAATGAAATATGTTGTTTGAATGATTAAATAAAGTATATTAATCATCATGGTGAATGACTCGATTGCTGAATATAAAAAAAAAAAAAATCAGTTCGAGATATTATAATCATTTTTGAATATGTGTAGTGATTAGTGACCGTTAATCGATAATTATTCAGAAATCGTGAGATGCGATCTGGTGTGATGTAGATTTCAGAAAAACATTTTCTTTATCGGGCCAACGTTTCGATCTTCATTGAGATCATCTTCAGGGCTCAAAGTGTTTGTCTTCTGTGTAATTGTGCCATTGAGGGCACTCTGAACACGATACGCAAGAATGGCACAATTACACAGAAGACGAACACTTTGAGCCCTGAAGATGATCTCAATGAAGATCGAAACGTTGGCCCGATAAAGAAAATGTTTTTCTGAAATCTACATCACACCAGACCGCATCTCACGATTTCTGAATAATTATGTTTTGAATATGTCAACGTTATAAAGGCACGTACCTCACTATTACTGACTCCATAAAATTTTTACATGTGATATTAACATATTCAAGTTCTAACATTATTGTTAATTTTTGGCTTGGGTTTAAGCAATCCTCCTATTTCATCCTGTATTCAAATTATGCCTGCTTTTTTATGATGAATAAAAAAGTAAAATACTTTTAATACTGTACTCCCCTTATATTGGGTTGTCCGGAAAATAATGCAGGATTTTGGTATTAAACAAAAAAAAAGAAACTAGTTACTTTAAAGCAATGTTCTTTAATCAAAATAATTTCCCATACTCTCAATACATTTCTCCCAACGTGTTGGTAACTTATTAATTCCGTCTGAGTAGAATTCAGAATTTTTAGAATTGATAAAGTCAATAAATGCATTTTCCAGTTCCGTTTGATTTTTGAATATTATGTGTTGTAAGTAGTGGTCCAGGTGTCTAAAAAAATGGTAGTCAGTAGGCGAGAGGTCCGGAGAGTAGGGTGGGTGAGGCAAAGTTTCATAGCCAAGCTCCAATAATTTTTGTGACGTTACACGTGACACATGTGGTCGAGCGTTGTCATGCAACAAAATGGGCCCTTTCCGATTGACCAAAGAGGGCTTCATTACTGCCAATTTCTGATGCATGGTATTAATTTGGTTACAGTATGATTCAGCATTGATGGTTTCGCCAGGATTTAAGAAGCTGTAGTGTATTAAACCAACTGAAGCCCACCATACCGTAACCATTACCTTTTTTTGATGAGTTGGGGGCTTTGGAAAATGTATTGGAGCTTCTCCTTTGTCGAGCCACTGTCCAGAACGTCTAGTGTTATCGTAGAGAATCCACTTTTCGTCACATGTAACAATTCTGGCCAGAAATGGGTCATTTTTGTTTCGACAAAGAAGTGATGCACAAACATCAAAGCGCTGATTTTTTTGGCGATCGTTTAATGAGTGTGGAACCCAATTTTCGAGTTTTTTCACTTTTCCAATCGCCTTGAGGTGGTCAGCGACGGTCGTTTTACTGACTTTGAGTTGCTCTGCAAGTTCTCGAACAGTTGTTTTGGGGTTTTCTTCCACCACTGATCGCAGAACATCATCATTAAGAGAGGAAGGCCTTCCACGACCTTCTTCATCTTCAAGGCTGAAATCTCCCTCCCGAAATTTTTTAAACCACCTTTGCACAGTGCACTCAATAACACAACCCTCGCCCCAGACTTGGTTAATGTTTCTAGCCGTTTGGGCTCCGCTTCGGCCGAGTTTAAACTCGTAAAAGAAAATCGTACGAAATTCTCGTTTTGACATTATAAGGATGACTGAATTATTTCCAAGTAGCGGAATGCTACAGAGGTAAACAAACAATATCATTTGGAAGAGGATTAATAAGTGTTGACATTCATACAAATGAGTAATCCTGTAAACGTAAACAGAATATTTTATATAGATTTTTTTTAATGAAAACTTAAAATCCTGCATTATTTTCCGGACAACCCAATATTATTATTAATTAAGGACGACTTATGTGGGCGTAGATTAGGGTGTATGCATGGATTAACGTAGATAATCTTCTTATTATTAAGTTCTTAATTGTGAAAGCGCTTTAAAAAAAAATAAAAATAAAATAAAAAAAGGGAAAACATACCTGGGAGCCGGACAGCAGGCGGATTTGCCATTTGGGTCCCAGGGCCAGATTTGCTCTCAATCCTTGTACGATCGATGTCGGGCCGACGATTTTCTTTAAATTTCGGCTCACTCCTAAAATCAACATCCTGCAACAAATAAAACGAAATTGAAACCCCATCGTTCTGAATCCAATTCGCATATCGACATCTTTGCTTGAAGTGCCTTTTATACGCAGTGTACATGCAATTTTACCTTTTTTAACAAGAATTTTGAAATAGAAATAATAAAGGTGGGGTAAGTATGTCGATTCTGTTTTTATAAATGATAGTTGCTCTCATAGGCTTGTGGTTTACAAATATCCGGATTTCAAGCATCAAAGCCCATCAACACGTTGCAGGAGTCGAAGAGAACGACTCTCATTCTCAAAGTGAACCCGCCCATCCACCGCGACGTTCCAGTGAGAAGCTGTTTTTTAATGCCGCTCAATTTTGAAAGAGCGAAGAAGTGAATTACAATACCATTAATTTCATTGTTAAATATTACTTAAGTACATGTTTAAAATAGAGAGTAAATAAAAAAACATAGCAGAACAGATAGAAAAGTCATCGCTGAAAAGAAGGACCTGACTAGCCGTTACAAAACACTCTCGATTTTTTGACAAACGATCAAAATTGACGCTTCACTATGAACGATTGATATTGTATATTTTACTTTAATTTTTTAATTTATACAAATCAACAATTTTACTTGTACAATAAAAAATGAAATAAATACTATTTGTCAGATTCATTATATTTTGGTCCGATTGACCACATAACTTCTTTCAATTATTTAATCTTTATGTAAGGTATTGGTGAAATGAAAAAGCTAGTATCGCGTGCTGGATTCGAACCAACGACCTTCGGCTAAATACGCCGCTTGTTGGTTCGTTGTACCACTTGAGCTGTCCGAGTGGATGGACACCAACTCCCCATCTCAACCTAACTTCCGAATTTACCCTCCTTTTTGCCATTTTTCTACACAAATATAAATGTAAAAAACATTGATTTGTCTCCTTTTATACCGAGTATTTTCCCTTCTGAACGAATCATCTCATTTAAACGCCTTTGCATTTCCTTAAAAAGATTTCTGGCAAAATCCTGAGGAATTTTACCCAATCATCAGGTAGAGCTGTTTGCAATTCTTCTAAGGCGCTAGGACCTGGACTTCACCGTTATACTCATCGCTTAAGTTGGTCCCAAATGTGTTTGATTGGGATCAAATCTGGACTTCGAGCTGGCCTCACCAAGCATTCAATTCTTCAGAAATGTTCCTCGCACAACAACCAATTCGGTGCGGGCGTCCAAGAAAATGCCACCCCAGTATATCAATGCTACATATGAAACCGTACAGCATGGGGCTGAGCGTCTCCCTATAAAAGTACGCCCGTCTGAAGATTTGAGGCCAACACTCATCTCATCAGTAAAGAGAACTCGTCCACAATCTGCCAATGTTCAATTCACATGTCCCCGTGCACAATTCCCAGGCCATTTTCTGAACTGTGATAAAAAGAGGTCCACGAGCCGGTTGACGGGCTCTGAGATTTTTTTCAATGACTCTTTTTCTTACAGGCCCGAAGGAAATTGAACATTTCGAACTTGTCTTATCAGATATGTTATCTCGTTTCCCGTAGTGCTGCGAGTTTATAAAGCCTGATGACGGATAAATTTATCATCTCTCTTGTCGTGTACTCGTAGGTCAATCCTGTCTGTACTGGCGTTTTAGTATGAAGCCCACTGTCTCTGAAGCGTCGAACAACCCTTCCTTTTAAACTTCGCGTTGGCGTATCCTTTCTCTAATAATAACATGACCCTGACCCGGCTTATTTATTCAAAATACTTGACAGGAGCAATGGAAGAACAAGAATAATATCAAATGAAATGAACGAATGAAAAGATTAACTGAAAGCAATCTTTAGGCGTAGCAATCAGTTCAAACGTAAACTAAGGACGTAAACAAAGCACTGTTTACTGTTCATTTTGACTAAGATAGCTTCTAACTAATTGTAGCTAATGTAGAAAGATAATGGATTTAATTTTAAACTAAATAAATCGAATGGTTCGTAACATTTCTTCATCAATGTATTATACGTTGTAGTGAACAAATTAATATCACTTCACTTTAAGCTAATGCTAATGCCAATTTTAGAGAATTTATTGATTTTGGGAACAGATTTTTAGCCGACCGCCATTTCCCGATTTAATCCACTTTTCACTGCAACATATATTCATTTTGACTAGGATAGTCTAATTACTTGTAACTAAAGTAGAAAGATAATGGATTTACTTTTAAACTAAATACATTGAATGGTGCGTAACATTTGTTCATTAGTATATTATATGTTGCAGTGAAAAATTGTTTAAGACGAAAATTGGAGAATATATATATATATCGTGCTTATTTTTTATTTCTTGTTTATTCATTTATATATATATATACATATATATATATATATAATTATTCAGAAATCGTGAGATGCGGTCTGGTGTGATGTAGGTTTCAGAAAACACAGTGTGTCTTCTGTGTAATTGTATAAAACAGCAAAATCTCACTGGCACTCTCAACACGACACGCAAGAATGGCACAATTACACAGAAGACAAACACTTTGAGTGAGTAGAAATACTTTGATTGAATANCAACAAAATAATACCACCATCGAACCAAGTCCGCTACCTTGGGCTTTACTTAGATAGTAGACTTACTTGGAACCCACATACACGATTAAAACGGCAAGAACCTAACAAAAGATATGGACTACTCAGACATCTTCTTGGACCAAAATCAAAACTAAGATAACAAACTAACCGCTTACAAAACACTCATCAGACCTATTTGGACCTACGGAGTCGAGCTGTGGGGCTCGGCCAAATCATCCAATATCCAACGAATTCAGTCTTTTCAATCTAAAGTTCTCCGCCGTATCCGTCTACGCCACACATCAAACGATCCATAAAGATCTTAAAATCCCTTTCGTGAAAGATCTTATCCATACACGCTTCTTCACTTTTCACTCTAAACTCTTCCTCCATTCTAACTCACTAGCCCTAACTCTTTCCTCAACATCTCACCCTTACAATCCTCCACGCCGTTTAAAACGATGATGGCCTCGTGACCTTCTATCTAACCCACCGAATTAACTTTTACTCCCTCCCCCCAATTAAATAAAAGTTGGTTTCTCTTCCCACTGCCTCCTGGTCTGTCAGATTAGTTTATAACTAACTATTTGCTCAATGTATATTATGTACAGATAGCAATAAATAAAATAAATATAAAAAAAAAGTAATTTGATTGATTTTGGGGAACAAATTTTTAACCGACATTTCCCGAAAGTTGGGATTTTCGAGTTAATCCACTTTTCACTGCAACATATATTGTAGCTATGTAAGGTACGTAAATATAATTTACATATCTTAGGTGCATTTAAATTTTATCAGTTTTCATTAGTTTGAAGAAACCATAATTTTCCTGCTGGATTCGGTGGAAAAGTGCTTATTTGAACTAAATTAGACTAGATCTCTTATATTTTATCAGCACTCGAATATCCTTCTTAAAACGTTCTAGCTCGTTTAACCTAGAAAATGGGTTAGTAAGATTGATTGGCCCGATATAAGTTAAAAGCTATCGTCAATTTGGAATAAAAAAGACATTTATTTAATGGATTCGGTGTTAATTCAACATCGATTAGATCGGTATTAAGTTGAGACTAATAATTCACATGGGCCTGAGATCGATCTTGAACGAGAATCGAAAAGAAAGCACAATGCCGAATAGAATTGCCAGGGCCCTCTTGATATGTTAATGCGACTTGAAAACCATTTGCATCCCATTATTATCCAAAAAGGCGCTCCTATCATCTTTTGTGTGAAATTTTCACCTTAGTGCAAAAATAATTCGAAATTATGCGGGTCTTTTAGACTGGTTGGAATTCAGAGCCAGCCCGCGGTTGCAACAGGTCCGAGATAAATAAGAAAGGCCCGAATGGAATTTATGGAATTGTAAATTCAATTTGGTGATTTTCTGGGGTCGACTAATATCCATGTTCAGTGTTTTTTGAAAATGGCCCGTGCTTGTTCGTCCATTTCTTGAAAATTAAAAAAACAAATTTTAAAACCTTGAATTCTAACAACGATAGAATAGAACGAAAGGAAAAAGATTTTTTGAAACGATGAGAAAGACTCGTCCTTGGATGGTTGCTACCACGAGGAAAGGGAATGATCACTATTTACCGACAGCTGATAGTCTTGGCAGCCACTTTTGATTCGATTCTCTCATAAAATGACTTTGCATAATTGTTTGTCTGTATAAGTAAAATTGTATAACAAGGTCGAAGAATAAAACTTCTATAAAATTCACATCAACATTAAAATTTGCTAAAATTGCAAAAACGGTTTGGGATAGAACAATTAACTTAACACATAAAACATTTTATCAATTTGCAAATTATTCAGTTTGTTTCGTTCAGCTTAAATTTAAACACACAAGAAAAATACGATCATATCAAGGAAAATAAAATCGGTTTATACAATAAAGTAAATAAAACTGTATTTGATAAAAACCAAACAAAAATAATAAAATTAAAAGTGTAAAAAAGTAATTTATTTCCGGAGCAGAAAAAAATATATACAGCTAGGGAATCGTCGCCAATTAAAAAAATAAGATTATCTCGCAATTAGTTCTACTTAGAACGATGGCAAATCAGAAAAACAAAAATTATTCGTATAAATATTTAAATATATAAATAATTATTTTTATAAATATGTATAAATATATATAAATAAATAATGAATAGTGACTTATTCAAAAAACGAACATGAAGTTATCGTTCAATTCTTATCTCAATTGCTTTATCTCTCACAATTATTTGCTCCATGTTTATTCTCAACGCAGCTGTCGCTTTCTTGTTTTTCGAAAGAAATAATTAAAATGCACAGGCTGACCATTTTGGATGACCAGAATTTCTATTGAATAGGCAACGTTATCGAAAACCGAAAAATACGTATTGTGTATGTTTAAGCCTAGATTTAAATTTTTACAACTTTTTAAATTTACGTTGTCAGGATAGTTCAGAGCGTCAACAACTTTGAAATTTTAAACGTTAACATATT